AGGAGATTGGGGGTCATTATAGGTTGGAAGTGAATGGACAGCAATTAACAACACCCACATTATGCCCTGGATAGAGTTTAGAGATTAAAGTGGGGTGGCAGGGGAGAGACTCCATTTCTTTGCATTTTCCCTGCATGCCATATAACACAGCCAATTCAAAAAAATAGATACCCTGAAGAATAAAATGACTGCTCTTGAGCTGTGATGTGTTTCAGTGGTTCCTGAAACATGACTATAGCTGTGCTTTGAAAGGGTTTTCCAGCCCCAGGCAGTGCTTTCAACATCTATGCCTGGGAGCTTTTCCTTCATGTTCTGTGATTTTTCCCCCCTTCTACTGTGAGAAGAATGTCACTAGCTGGATTGCATGCGCTGAGCTATCAATTTCTTATAGACGTATATACAACTGTTTTTCCTCCTGTCATGCAAGGTGTTATCTATTTTTGCCCGTTTTAATAGGAGAAGTATGTGAAATGTAAAGATCTCTTTTATAAGAACAGAGATGTAGCAATTACATTGACACTCTGAATGAGTTTACTCCAATAAACAAACCTGGTAATCATCTTTTGTCACCATGTAGAAGTTCATATAAACGACTGAACAAACAAACAAAAGAAGTTCATGAAGCCCTTTATATCCTCTGAATCAGCCCTATTTTCTACGGGTTCACTACTTGTGCCCCTGGCGGGCTATCTGCCCCCATCCCATGCCACTTGAGGGCCTGTCGGGCTTGGCTACTGCCAGGCCTCAAAATAATAGCCTTAGCCTGGAAGGAGTGGATGGATGAGGTGGTGGGAGATGATCCAAGTGTACAGCTGGTGGAAATAAAGGGAAAGGAGATTGTGGAAGTGGGGATATCAGACATGAATAGGAGGAGGAATTGGAGACAGATGATGGGTCAGAGGGTCAAGTGATGGGTTTTCCTATCATTCTTGTATTCTGATGCATCCAAAGTATGAATTGAAAGTATGAGTTTAGTTACTTCTAGTAAGAATTAAGGTTTGATTTCATTTAGCACCTACTTATTTGTCTTCTTATTGTTCTGTGCTATCTATACAGCTGTCCAACACTACATTTTGTCAGAGGGTCAAGTGATGGGTTTTCCTATCATTCTTGTATTCTGATGCATCCAAAGTATGAATTGAAAGTATGGGTTTAGTTACTTCTAGTAAGAATTAAGGTTTGATTTCATCTAGCACCTTGTCTTCTTATCGTTCTGTGCTATCTATACAGCTGTTGTCCAACACTACATTTAAAATGAATTATTTCCCCCTGACCAGCTTCTTTCATTATACAGCTTTCACATCCATACACAGTAATCAGGAATCAGTTTTTCTTGGCCTTGATCTCCAACAGTCCCTGTGCTTAAGAACTTTTCTAGTTCCTTCACAGTGAGCCTTCCAAGTCTCAGACTTCTGATTTTTTTGGTTACAGGCTCCGTTTTCAGTGATAATCTCCTGTGCAGTTTCCTATATTGTGAGGCTATTTTAAATAAGCTCCTAACTCTTACAGATCTAGAGGAAAGTTTGAAAATGTCATGCAGATTTAATAACAAGCAATGTGAATAGCTTGAATGGATTCCGCCCCCCCCCCCGGCTCTCTTGGTTGTTGTTGTCGTTGTTGTTTAGTTGTTAAGTCATGTCCAACTCTTCGTGACCCCATGGACCAGAGCATGCCAGGCCCTCTTGTCTTCCACTGCCTCCCAGAGTTTGGTCAAATTCATGTTGGTAGTTTCAGTGACACTGTCCAAGCATCTCGTCCTCTGTTGTGCCCTTCTCCTCTTGCCTTCACACTTTCCTAACATCAGGGTCTTTTCCTAGGAGTCTTCTCTTCTCATGAGATGGCCAAAGTACTGGAGCCTCAGCCTCAGGATCTGTCCTTCCAGTGAGCACTCAGGGTTGATTTCCTTCAGAATGGATAGGTTTGTTCTCTTTGCAAGAGCCTCCTCCAGCACCACAATTTTAAAGCATCAATTCTTCGGTGGTCAGCCTTCTTTATGGTCCAGCTCTTGGTTGTTATACACATTTTTAAAGGATTTGTGCATATCTATGGTTGTTCTCAAGGTTGTTTGAGAGGAATAATATTTCAGAATAGTACAACTGCTTATTGATAGTGATCACACACACTGTATGCATTGCTCCCTTGCATGATTTATGGATCTTCCTTCACCTTTGATGTAATTCAAAAAGAGAAAGAGGAAAGAACAACGTGGGTAAAATAAGAGGAACGACCTTTGAGCTGAGCTCACATCCACTTCTTCTCTCCCTCACAACAAGGGGAAAGAAAGGTGTGTGTGGAGTGAGTGAGTCATGACTATCCTGCCTTTTCCCCACTGTCAGCCTCTCCACCCCACCCCATCCCTACAACCCAGAAGCTTTTGTGAAATCTTTCTTGGGATTTTAAAAAAATGAAATAAAGAAAGCAGATTGGAAAAGTTCTTACTCTTTCTGCAGACTGCTTGCTCCCCCTGGCTCTGGAACTCTCTGGAAAGAAAAGGTCTACAGAAGGAGCAAGGAGGAATCGGATTTAAAGCAATCCTCTTGAGTTCCAGTGATTAATCCGGGGCCTTTTGCAACTTCAAAGTTCCCATCACCCCTCCCTCCAGACACTGTGATTGGCTGCTGACAGCAGCCCACCCAGTGCCCTGCAATAAAAATTTCCTCAAACAGTTTGTTAGACAAGGGATGAAGGAACAAGAGAGACGTGTAGGAATGTGAAGCTTTTGCATCCCTCTTGTTCATTAAGACAAAGCATTTGGGTGGAAGAGTCTCTCTGCCTGGAATCGGTGAACAAACATAAAACAAAAGGGAGAGCCTCTTTTGTATTTTCCCCCGTTCATATTAACCCGAGAGTCCTATCCCCATACAAAAAGGGAGAGCCTCTTTTGTATTTTCCCCCATTCATATTAACCCGAGAGTCCTATCCCCGTACAATGTACAGTGGTGCTAAATCGCTATGCGAAAATCGCCCATAGGGAAAAACGTTATACGAAGCACAATCTGACTCTGAAAAAATAAACGTTAAGCGAAAAAAACGTTAAACGAAGCAAACGTTATGCGAGGCACCACTGTATCTACCATTTCTAGTTGTGCATCCACCAAGTGTGGGGAAAAGAAATTTATATTATATTAATTATATGCACTTGACCAATATGGTTTGATCCTCTGGCTTGTGATAACAAATCCACTGTGGAAGTATTGTTACAGTGCTACGCAAATTGTTCACCTCTACACAAATATGAAATAAATATTCTAATGATCAGCATGGCCTTTTGATAAAAAATATGATCTCGGTTCAGCAAAACTGGTTTGAACCCCAATATGTTATGACTTCATAATCAGATTCTCTGGACTTCACGTGTAATAAGGAAAATAAGTACAGTGGTGCCCCACTTGACGACAATAATCCAGTACAGGAAAATCGCCGTTAAGCGAAATCGTTGCCAAGTGAAAAAAAAAACCATTGGAATGCATTGAAAACTGGTCAGTGCATTCCAATGGGGAAAAACCTCATCGTCCAGCGAAGATTGGCCATAGAGAACCGCCGATCAACTGTTTAAAATCACTGTCTTCCGAAGCAGGGGTCCGGAAAACAGCCATTTTGCCAAGGGAGGGAAGCTGTTTTATGAAGGGAAGCCATAATGCGGAGCTGGTAAAAAATTGTCGTTTAGCAAACAAACGGTTTACGAAGCAGGCTCCTAATCGACATCAAGTGAAAAAACCCCACTGGAACCATCATTTTGCGATCACAATAGCAATTGCAAAAAACTCATCGTAAAGCGATTTCGACGTCATGCAGGGTAAACATCAAGCGGGGCACCACTGTATTGGTAGAGTGCCTTGTGGCTCAGTGGTTAAACTGCTGTACTTTAGCCAAAACTGTGCTCATGACGACCAGGGGTTCAATCCCAGGTAGCCAGCTCAAGGTTCACTCAGGCTTCTGTCTTTCCAAGGTCTGTAAAACGAGTACCCGGCTCACTTGGGGGGGGGCAGTCTTCATAATTAACTTGTAAACTGCCCTGAGAGTGCTTTAAGTACTATGGGGTGATATATAAGCCACATTATCCTCCAATTAATTTTTTTCTTTGATCTAATGTTTTGATCACTAGGGGTACAAGGGCGTGGGTGAGTTCAGAATCCCGTGTGTGCAAGCAAAAAACTGGGCTATGTGTGGAAATCCTGACAACAGAAGGAGCCCTTCGAGAATGATTATGTGAAGAATCCAGACTTTTGAGGATCACCTCCCTTTTCTTTTTTCAAGGGACAATTCAAAACAATTTAAAGTAATTTAGAAACAATTTAAATCCACGGGCAGTGTAACAGAGCACCGGAATGAATTGGCCATTGTAGAATGCTTTGCACTCTACAGAGGTGCCACTGCAATCAAGTAAACGGCATTCTAAGATATTTGGATTGAAATTCATATTCATGCATAAATCCATTATATTTTCTCACACCATTTATAGTCTTACCACCTCTTTCTTTTGCTCATAAGGAATTGATAGTGACTTGTTTCATTGTGGGAAAAGGGAGTGCGAGTGCCAGGGAACTCAGCTAAGTACTCCTTCACTGTAAACTACTTTAAAACGCTGGAGAATATGGAACATGTGAGGTCATCTGCATAAACTGTTTCACATTATGTGCACAGCATAAGGACACCAGAATTACAGCATCTCCCAGTGTGTTACTGCTGTGTGAATTTAAAGAGCTGTCTTTTAAGAAACAGGACCATATCATGAAATGGGATAGAAGATATTTATCAGTGTTAAAGCAAAGCTTGGAAATTTGCTTTCAGTGAGAAGGAATATGATGACATGCTGAGGACTTGCCTAACCAAACAGTGGTGGGTTGATGGTCTGGGTTCTGGAGCATCATCCTACCGCTAGTCAATTAAGGATGGCTTTGGCATGTCAAATTTGTTCTTCCTAAGACATCTCAGCAGCTTCTGCCATTTGCTATATTTTTATGTTTAATTTTTTATTTATTTTTTTTATTTATTTGCAGAGAAAGAAACCTTCTTGGATCCTTTTGTATTAAGGGATCTCCTGCCAGCATCTTTGGGAAGTTACTATCGATATGCAGGTTCACTGACTACCCCTCCTTGCAGCGAGATTGTGGAATGGATTGTTTTTCGTATGCCTGTCCCCATCTCTCATCGACAAGTAAGCTTGTGCCATATAGAGTTTGTCCAGTTGTGTTTTCTTTGTCTTGAAACTCTTTTTTTACCCACCCAGTTCCTTCTCACTTAAGCTATTGCCAGACAGCCAGCATTCCTCTTTCTGGTAGATGTTATGAAATTAAAGATGGAGAATATTTTGAGTAGAAACACACAAAAATATTGCTGATAGGAAAATAAGTTGGTTGATTTTACTTTATTGTTCTTTTATGACATGAGCCATTTGACAGGAGAGGTTAATAGAACATGACAGCCAATTCCCTTCCAAATGATCTTAGCTATTATTATTCTGTTCGGGTACATTTAAACCATGGTCCAAATATTTTGAATTCTTTCTTCTTCCCATATCTTCTGTGATACTCTGTGAAGTCATTTTAGCAATTTACAGACACAGACTTAAGTCGTTTGAACTAGTTACATGAGTAAAGTAATGTTTTGATCAATTTATATCTCTTGTCAGTTTTTAACAACATCATGAAGCTCCCATTCTGCACCTCTGCAATGGATGTACAGAGTCTTTAAACAAATGCATATGAGACCTTGCTATAGATCAGGCTGCTGAGTGCCATTTTCATTGAGAGATATCCCAGAGTCATAATTTTAACAATTAAAAAGGCATTGACAACTAAAACCTTTGTTTCAAAAATGTCTCCTTGCTGAAATGTGTTCAGCTTTTTATTTGCTCATGTTAATAATATACCTTGTTGCAACAGAGGCATCTTAGAAGGAACTGTTTATATTAAAAGTCACTGATTTATCTGAATGAGGGAATGTAAATATCAATAGCCCAGGGAATGATGGTAAATGAAAACACTAGTGCATGAGTTATCCCACTGCTCCTCAATGGTTTTACTCAGAGGAGAGATACACTACTATAATTTGCCTTTTCCCAGCCATTGGTTCTGTCATGTCTTCAGCATCTGAACTTCTTGAGGAATGGATGAAAGAGGTCCCTTGGGAGCAGTGACCATCACAGGTGATCAGGACGGGCCCTGATCCCAATTTGGAGTGACCATAAGGTTGCCCCAGAAATCAGCCAATCATTTAGTTTTACTATATTTTTCTGTTTATAAGACGACACAATGTATAAGACGACCCCCCCCTTTTCTAACCCCCAAATTAGAAAATTTGCACGATTGTACCTCTTTAGTCCTGAAGCACTTTCATGGCTGCTTCAGGATCAAAGGGGTGTGATCTTGCCGCCCTTTCATGTCTGCTTTACCCTGTAGCTTCGCAAAAGACAGGGAAAGTGGCTGCCTTCCATGTATAAAACGACCCTCAATTTTGTGTCTAATTATTTAAGTAAAAAGTGTTCTTTCATACACCGAAAAATATGGTATATTTAAGTAAAAAGTGTTGTTTCATACACAGGAAAATATGGTATTTTTTGTTTCTGTTTGCCCCTGAAGATCAGGTGTCTGGGGTTCAGCGGTCTCTCCAATTAACCAGCTGATTAATTGTGTGCTGCTTGTAGAAATGAGCGGTCACATCCATCTAGTTACGCTCAAATGCTCTATTCTGCACAGCTTGCATATTAGAACTATCACAACTCCAGCAACTTGGTGGCCAATCCACAAATCTCATGTAACCTAGTGTACCTCTGTCAACCCTCTGGCGAATAATCTCACATTAATTTTAGAAGAATACGGAACGTTGAATATTGGTAGCAAAGGATCAAAGCTTTCACACTTGGTGCATCTTATTTTCCCTGCTGTGTTTGCAGGGAGATAGGAAGGGGAAGTATTGGCCTGAAGTGTTAGAGGCATTCCGCTTTCTTTCTCCCCACTTCAGGAAAGTATTTCCTCAAATGTGTTTGCACTTATCATTCTACAAGTTATCAAAATTTTTATATAATGCACTGAAAGAGGGCAGAATGTGCCAATGTTTACATGCCTTTCCCCCCTCCAAACGTGTGTGCACAACACAGGGATCTTAAAAACAGAAAAGCCTGCTCATATTTTGGAAAAGATAGATAATTTTTATAAATTGGTTCTGTAAGTGTATTAGAAACAATGTGTTTTGCTCTATATAAAGGTGTTTTTCAAGAGCCTGAACATTTTGCGTGAAAATTACAGGTGCTTAAGCAATTCCGTTCATGCAAATAGTTTTTCAAGCAATGGAAAATAAATGACATTTGTAAGTGTTTGTCTGAGCAATTTGCAAGTTTTTATAACTGCATTTGCTCGGCATTGCATGTGACCTTAAAAAAATACTCAAAATATATTTGGGTTATTTATTTATTATTTGGGAATAAAATGCAAGTTGTCTTGCTTTTTTTAAAGCTGCAGTCCTAGATGCAATTCCCACTAAATTCACATTATTGGTGTGATGGAGAAAACCAGTGCGCAAGTAACTGTGGCAGCCATGCCGTCCAGGATTTAGAGCAGTCTTTGTCAATCCAGGGTCTGATATACTGGATTTACTGTCCCTCCCTTGCCCCAGCCAGTAGAGCTATAATAGCACGTGGGTGGTGGAAGACCTAAGCCTGATACATCCTGGGGAGGAGATACTGGAGAGGCCTGGCTTAAGTTCACCGTGCCGGTGGCTTTCCTTCTCTGTTGATCTCCTCTCCTGCATTTTGTCTGACCAGAGCAAAGTGTGTTATCTTTGTATGGCAGAGCCCAGCTTTCTTAGTATGTGTAGCCAACAGAACAGGCCCTTTCACCTTGGAGCTGCTGGGCTTTCAAGATACTGCTATCAATATGAATACATGGAAAGATGGAATGGGTGTACGTTGCGCTTTGATTTATATTATGTATGGGATGAATGTGTGCCCCCATTTTGGCAGCATAATAATACAAAGCACATGCACAGCACATACACACATGGGGCACCTAATAAAACAAAAGAAAGAGCAGGATGTTTGTATATTGGTAAGACCACATAGTAACTAGAAACTGGGAAAGAATCTTTTTTCTTGCCTCCCTCAGACATTAGCTTTACAGAGGCTTTCAGAAGTGTTTTCTCTGCTGCTTGGCAGGATAGAAGTGAGGCTAGATAAGGCTGCTGGCAGTGATTTCTCTGGGCAGCTTGGTTTCCTGTTTGATTTATCTGTCTTGGCATCAGTATTTCCTGCCATTTTGCCTTCTTATCAGCTGCCCAGATTTCACCACATTGTTTTTCTAATTAATGCCCTTTTCTCTCTTCTCTCTCCCCCTCCCCCCACGCCGCACCGTTCTACTCATCCCAATGGCTGTGCTCAGCTGGAAGCATTCTATTCCATATTTACCACAGAGCAGCAAGACCACGTCAAATCAGTGGAATATCTGAGGAACAATTTCCGGCCTCAGCAGAGCCTGAACAACAGGGTGGTGTCCAAGTCTGCTGTGAAGGATGCCTGGAGCCAAGTGACAACCAGCAGCTTCGACAACCCACTTGGCACTGAAGCCTCCAAAGGTAGAGTTGGATTCTCCATTTAGAGCAAGGCCTGGTGCTTTCAGGGGGTTTGCTTTTATGTGAGGTACTCTGGAAGGAATGAGCCAGCATGCATTAAAACATGGTTGTATATTCAGTGAATATGCTTTGTTCATAATATTTAACCCCTTTTTTCAGATGAAACACTCAGTGAGCCATGCTTAGGAATTCTGGGAGTCAAACATGATCTAAAAGAGGAGGTGAGGGTGGATGCAGACCATTAGGGAATCTCAGTGAGTTGAGACGCTCCCCCCAGATCACTACACATGTCTGAACTGAGAACCTTTTATATATCTCTGATAGTTCACAGAGGAGAACTACTTTTCTGAAATCCTGTTAAAATTCCCCAAGAATGCACAGGCTTTCAGTTTCTCCAGAACTCTTCATCAGGCTAATAAAAATCTTTTTCTGGAGGACTTAAAAGCTTGCACATTTTTGTGATTATTTTTTGTTGTTGGGCCTAATAAAGGAATTGCCTGTCTGCGGATTTTGGATTGTGTTGTCATTTACTTTTTAACCTCTGTTCATGACTTTGAGACATTTTGCAGGCTGCCTTGGTATATGCAGAAAAGGAGGTGTTAGTGAACCTGATTCTCCTTGCACACACAAAGATGAATGTAAAATGTTTCTACCATAGGAGATTTATATTCCCACTCCTTTTAAATATGTATTATTCTATGTGATGTAGCATATGGTGGCTGCTGGAGTTATGTGCCCAACTGCTTGTGTGGCCTTAGGGAAGCGCCATGTTACATCACCAGAAGGAGGGAATGGCAAACCATTTCTGAGTAGTTTGTATGCAGAAAACCAAGCAAAGGGCTGCCATAAGTTGAAATCAACTTGAATGCACTTGTAATTACTATTAAACCTGATTTTTCAGAGCAAAGCCTTCCATCGTATAAAAATTAAATGAGGATAATATCCGATTCTTAGAGTAATAGCTGCTTTCTGTGCTCCCATGATTTTGTTGCCCTTGCAGGGTGTACAGAGGGACATTTGCTCAGTGCTATAGAAATGGTGAATAGCAGCAACCTTCAATAAAGTGTGCTTTCTGTTTAAGTTGTTTTCCCGTGCTCACCTATCTTCCTGTGCTCACTTATCTGCCTCAGGTGAATGGTTTGTTTTATTTAATTTTATTTCATGCATTTATGTACCATTGACTTAGTGTGAATCACTACTCTAAACAGTTTACAGTAACAGAATGTAATACTAGGCAGACCATCCATCCATCCAACATTAAACATCTCAGCACACAAACAATAGATGCATAGCCAAAATGATAGCTACACAGGAAACACATATAAAATAGCTTTAGAGGAGATTCTTTTAGATGCTTCTTGAAACTTTTACTTTATGACAAAAAAAATATTGAGGCAAACCTTAAATTCATCATTCAACAAATGACATTTGTATTCCACTTTTCAGTCAGGATTAATTCCAACAACTTCTCACAATTAAAAACCTACATAAAGAAGGTACGCTGTGTGGTTGCTGAGATGCATTAACTCAGTGCCCCGAATGCTCTAGCCAACATGCCCTCCCCCTTTCCACCAAAGTCTATATTTCAGACCACAGTGTCTTTTCTGGTCTAGAAACAAAGTGCTCCAAAATTCTTTGTCTAAGCCAAAAAGAGAAGAGTGGTGAAAGGTTTGTCTTTGGACTAAAATCCCAACAGTCCTGTTGGATAAGAGATGATGGGAGTTGTAGGCTAGACAGATAACTTTACTCATCTCTGGAAAAAGAGTTCTGAAGGGTGAGTGGGGATGACAGCCACACCTTCTCATAGCTTTGTTGGCCATACTGTATATACGTAGATAGAGTACAAACAGCTTCTAAAGTGCACCTTCTCATAGCTTTGTTGGCCATACTGAATATAGATAAAAGTACAAACAGCTTCTAAAGTACTGATCCTCTTTCCAAATCAGAGAGAGATGTACCAAAAGCTAATAGGTGTAGAACTGGGAACTTCCAGATCCATGTTCTGCCACCTGCTCTGAGGAATCCTACTTGGGCTGTAGGTGTCTTGCTTCTTCAGCCTTGCTCAGATTCCTGAGTGGAAACACCAGAACTCTGAGGTCACTGATCTCCACCCAAGCTCGTTAGATCAGCTTCCTGGTGAGAGTCTGCTGTGCATAATGCGTCCTGCACAGGATCCCCTTGGGATCACTGGCTTCCAGTTGCACAGGGTGAATACTCGCATTTGTGCAGGCTCCAGAAAAGTTCAACCATAGGCACAAAGACCATCACAAGAGCAAAGAAATAAAAGAGGTAGGATTCTCCACTTCCTCTTCAGCTGAATAATGCTCAGCATTGGCTGCTTTTCTGCATTTTTTGCTGTTAGATTTGGCCCTTGTACCTGTAATAGCTTGTTTTCCAGTACTTGCCTGCCACTTGCTTTGATTCCTCCTCAGACGTTGGTGCTGTAACACCTGCTTTCTGACTTCTTTGTTCCTGTTAGAAGCAGTCCAGTGGTGCTTCTGGAGTGAAAGGGTCAGCTGAGGGAGTGATGTTGTTGACCAAGGGATGCCTGTATGCGTTCACAGTCCTCACATTCGTTGGTATCCCCTGTGTTCTTTATCCTGGCTTTCTGTTTTTCCAGCTCCCAGAAACTGTCTAAGGTCTATCATTCCATCAAAGTGTTGTGTTACTGCTGCAGCAGCTCATTTTCTCTCTTCTGGCTTTAAAGTTCAGATAAACGCTTCAGTACTTATGCCATAAGTTCTTCTGGTCTAGCAGTTTACTGACAAAGATAAGGAAGAATAGATGCAGCTTTTGGGCCCAAGACCACATAATATATATATTTTTTTGCCCATGGATGTTTAAAATACGATAGTGGAAATGGTGACATGGATAAAGATGGGGTATAGTGAACCAAGTGACATAAGTTAGATAAGCAGACTATTGGGAAAGCTAAATATTCCATTCTTGAATGGCATTGTTCATACAGGAAGTTTGCAATACTTGGGATTCTGATGCTCAGATGAAAGACAGGTTGTGAAATTATGGCATGCCAGTAAGAGAATATCTTGATGCAAATGAATAATAAATTAATTTAGGGAAGTCTTGATAGGTTCAATTGTATAAATATTTAGATGTGTCTAAATTGCATATTGCATAATTTCAGCATATAACTCTTGTTTCTGAGGTTTCTCCAGTGATGGTAGGATGCAATGGACTACACCACTTCAGTGGTGAATCAGGTGCTTGGCTTGTATAATGTCCCCGATTCAGTCCTCCATATTTGTGTTCCCATTTAAGAAGGTAACCTTTGTACCAGGCTTGGTATGTAGAATTAGACTCGTATGGAATAGCAACTTGGCTTGGTATAAAGATCAAAGTATATGAGATGCTGAGTTAGTAATTAGAGTTTGATAGCAGATTTCATCCTTAGCAATGACACCTCTACAGAGAGACATAGCGTTTAGGGATATGTTTTTGAATGGAGCTCCCAGACCTCTCCAGGTAGCTTACCTCAGAATTGAGCTGCAACTCCCAGAATTCTCCAAGAACTCCACAGGCAGAATTCTGGGAGCTGCAACCCAAAAATGGAAATCTGCACACCTCCAAATCTTGCCCCCACCCAAGAGAAAGGCTTTGGGGTTCTTTACCGCTGATGCTGATGATACCACCATTGTCTGCCTTCTCTGACCTTTTAATTGTTTTTCAAACGTAAAACTGTCACAGTATTTTGTGTGGCTGTCAGTTCTTTGGGAGGCACCCTTTTGTGGAGCCTAATGGGCAGCAAAACTACATCTCCCAGTCCTCTGCACCCAGGAAGGTCCGCATAGTCAAAGCTATGGTTTTTCCAGTAGCGATGTGTGGAAGTGAGAGCTGGACCATAAAGAAAGCTGACCGCCGAATAATTGATGCCTTTGAATTGTGGTGCTGGAGGAGACTCTTGAAAGTTCCCTGGACTGCAAGGAGAACAAACCTATCCATTCTGAAGGAAATCAACCCTGAGTGCTCACTGGAAGGACAGATCCTGAAGCTGAGGCTCCAGTACTTTGGCCATCTCATGAGAAGAGAAGACTCCCTGGAAAAGACCCTGATGTTGGGAAAGTGTGAAGGCAAGAAGAGAAGGGGATGACAGAGGATGAGATGGTTGGACAGTGTCACCGAAGCTACCAACATGAATTTGACCAAACTCTGGGAGGCAGTGGAAGACAAGAGGGCTGGCATGCTCTGGTCCATGGGGTCAAGAAGAGTCGGACACAACTTAACGACTAAACAACAACAACACCCTTAGGTTAAATTGGTTTAAGAACCCCAGTTCTTAAACCAGAAACATTGTAAAAGATATACCGGTACTTTTTCTCCTTCACCGCCCCCCAACTTAAATAAAGACCAAAAAGCCAGCGTGGTAGCTGGTAGTTGATACCCGGAAAGAAATCTTTAATGTACTTTTAATTTTTTTATTAAATTGAAAAGGACTGGTGTGATAAATCTTTAAGAAGCAGAGTGAAGATGATTAAAACTGTGAAGAGGAGGGGGATGTGAAAAGTCTTTAGTATGACTTTATATGCTATACCACCAACCCATTCTCTTTTTGTGTAATGTTTATCTGAAGTATCCCATACAGTTGCAATCACCTCTACCTTAAATATCCTAATCATCTTTCTGACAGCTTTTTATCTCACCTAAATTTAAACCTAACTTTTCAACTTCTATCAAAACCTGTATAAAGCTACCTTTATCTATCTCTCTTCCCATCTCTCTTTCCTAAACGTTAACTCACTGTCAAATATATCACTAGGGCTGGGGAAGACACCCAACGAAAATAAAGTTCTGAGCAATCAGACTTTCAGATGATGCCTGTGTTTACCTTCCAGTGACCAAACAAAGGAACCTCATCTTCCTTTGAACTGCAGAGATGAGAGATGCTTTGGCTAGAACAATCAAATTCCAAAGAGCACCGCTTATAAATGCAGAACTAATGTTGTCATCAATCCTGAAGGCATGTTCCAGTGGGATCTCGGCATACT